ATTCATCGGATCACCAATAAAACTCATTCAATCCGTTCGAACAAATAAATTAATGACCAAACTGTTATTATAATTATTATAATTTCTCACACTATGAATGAACAATGACAACTTTAAGCAGAGCATCTATCATTTTTTTTTAATGGAAACAGAACCAACTCACATACGACATAATTGTGTCCACTTCAAAAACGTCCTCTTCGTTGAAGTCGTCACCGCGATTCACGAAGAAATCATGACTGAGCGGTGTTTTGAACGCGATGAATCGTGTACCTGTCAACGGCTTGCCCACCGGATCGTAGTCTATCCATCTATTCAATTCAGATCACATCCGAATGCAACACTATCTTCTCTTTACAATAACATTAAACTAATCGCTCACAATCAGTGTATCTTTCCCAAGTAACTACAGCAACACTTTCAGTGAAATTGACAGTGAAACTGAATCGTTTCGTTTTGATTTCAATTTGACTGTTGCAGTTATTATGTAAGAACTCTAATTCAGAGTTTGCAAGCGACAAACTGTAACATGAAGTATTACTGTTCCCTTAAACAAGAACTGCTCTATTCTTTCACAGTGGTATTGCTGGTAGTGTGCTAATTAGTGATGTCTCTATTCCAGTTAAACTATTCTTTGCCTGTTCTGTTCCATGGAATAGAATAGAACAGTAAGAACGGCGGAACTGTTCCAAAACAGATCTGCAAAAGTGTGGAATAGAACAGAATCGAACATTTTGTCTAAAGTGTGGAATTAAAACATCACTAGTGATAATGGATAATATCATATCAAAGAGTCGTATGTGCTCTATGAAGAATAATGAAAAAGGCTAGTCCACAACCTCTGACAATACTTTCACTCTTCACTTCATCAATTATATCCCAAGTTACCAAGATAAAACGAAGAATATTCCAAGAATACTCACAAAAATAGTGAAGATATCTTGGGACAAATCAAAGTATCTTACTAAAAAGATAAAAAGCAGCAGCTCACCTATCAGGCAGTCTCCTCGCTGTTGGACCATTTTTGGATTCTTTTGCATTTTTGGATTCTTTTGCACGTCTACGCATCACTCACCATCAACGTACCTACTACCATAAATGGCACTTTTTTACCCCTCTGGTCTAAGCGTTAGCCTCAGCCAAAGACTGAAATTAAGCCTGTGATGTAAAATTCACATACAGTTAACGACAAGGCGAATTAAGTTACGTTTAGACGGTGAGCGGTTGGTTTGTCGATCGTCCTATGCGATCGGCAAAATGTTTGTCATTGTTGCGATTGTTTAATGGATTGTTGTTGGTATTAGGCTGGATTTAGTTATGCAAATTATCTATGGCAACAGGCACTCGTTATTGGTTGGTTGTGGAGTGCTTGATATGCCGATTGCTATGGGTCTACTCGGTTACATTAATCGTTTATTATTGATAACGAAAGATTACTGATTCACTACTCTTGGTTGTTCCAAACAACTACTCTGAACAATCGTTGGACAAGTGTTCAATTGATCAATCGGAATGTACTTTCGAGCTCCTTTCGAGTCCCTCTCCCCAGAAATCATTGGGCAATATGGGAGAGTAGCCCAAAACCTCTGTGCTTGCCAGATCAATAATCCAAGTTCGAATTTCATAAAGACAGATGATTCCCAAAATTACCGTACTCCCAAGACGTATAATCTATTAAAACCTATTCAGGCACATGGATATCCGTAACACTGCCGGATATCCGATCAATCAAAACTGAACGTTATACGTTTGATATTCCACAGAATCGACGAAAACTTCGATCGGTTGTTTCCTACGATTGCTGCTCACGAAAGTAAACTTATAACGGAAATTTTTTATGGTGGTGGACGAAAACTCAAATCCTTATATGTGCACCATGAATGACTACTGAGTGGAGAATAATAAATCAAGAAATAACAACAGCACAATCGACAATAAGATAAAATATTGTAACGTTTATCATTAGGAAAACTCTCAAAATTGAGAGTTTCATTGTAACGTTTTTATTTT